TCATCTCTTTTACTTTTCCTTCGACTTTTCATCCATCCTTTTTTCTGTTCTCTCCCCTTTTCTCTTCCTTTTCCTAATTTTCTCCTCTTCCTTCACCTCTCTTCTTCTCCCTCTGCCTCTCAAAACTAATTCTAACCCTTTTCCTCCTCTCTTCCTCGTTCCTCTCCTTTCATCTCCTTTTCCTCTCCTTCTCCTTTTTCTTACTTTTCTCCTTTCATCCCTTCTCCTCTATATTGCATTATTATTATGTCCTGGCTTGCAGACAGTAGAGAGCCAACAGCAGAAGCAAGGATGCTGCTTTTACATATGGTCTATTCATATAGTGCTCTGTCCCACACACACACACACACACACACACACACACACACACACACACACACACACACACACACACACACACACACACACACACACACACACACACACACACACACACACACACACACACACACACACACACACACCAGTTTTCTCCTCGTCCGTCCTTGTCTCTCATCTCTCTTTCCTCTCAAATTAATATCACTCCTTTCTCTCGTTCCTCACATCCTTAGTGATTTGTCTTCTCTGTTTCCTTTCTCCTCATCTTGTCCTCCCTCTTCTCTTGGTTGAACATCATTCTCCTCTTCCTCCTCTCATTTCTTTCCAGCAGTCCAGTCTGAAAGTGAGAGTAAAGGCAATAATTCAGCTCTCTGTGTTGACACACATTCTCTTAATGCCTTTCTGTCTCTTTTTTTTAAATCTATGGCTGCCTTACTGTTAAACTCTCAAGCAAATAGCATGCAGACTCTTGAAGTGTTACAAAACGTAATTGGTATCAGCAATCGGCAAATCTGCTAATAAGATTACATTTACTGATTGCAGTTCATCTGTTGTTTCACATCAATTTCATCCCGGCCAAATATTGTTTTTCATTTTTTGCGTTAACAAACGATCGAAGCTAACATACCCAGCTAATGATTAGGATAATCCTTATGACTTCAGTGTTTCCCCTAGGATGGAGTCATAGCAGCGGTGCTAAGGCACGTGGGCCCAGTATAATGTGAGCGTGGAGCGCGTGGAATTTTTTAGTGTGTGCACGTGCGAAGTGCGCCCCGCCAATTTGTTTCTATGTGTCTGCCAGCACAAGAAAGGCTCTTGAGGCCTAGTACCAGGGCCGGTTCTAGACAATTTGCTGCCCTAGGCGAGATTTTATATGTAAAGAATAAATGAACAATCTCTACAAAAGACAAATACACTACAAAAACAGAAACGTATTGACATAGGTAATATATGTCAAAATGGCTTCAAATGTATTCAGTATTGTATGAGCATGTTAGAATTGGGGGGTGGACGTCACATCCTCTAGGGGGGTCCGGGGGTATGCTGGGTTTGCCAGGTTTGAACATTTTAAAGTAAAATGCTTCAATCTGGTGCACTTTGAGCACACAATTACTAGAGACCTGATCTAGGGGATACAACTCTAACACCCATATGAAAAAGATCGGTTTACATTTTAATAATCAAATAAGGGGACATAACCAATAACCTAATAATCTAAACACTGAGAGAGTCCTTTACCTCACTGAGCCTCTCAGTCTGACAGGAGAGCTCTCCTCCATCCTGGTTGTAGAAAGAAACATCTACTTCTTATATCCGTTAGCGCAGCTAGCACCAGATTCTAATAACAACAGAGCCGGTACAGGTGCGCCCTCTCTCTCTCCCTCGCTCCCACGCTCCCACTTTGACTGTGAGCTGCGGGCGACTGATAAGCCACCATCCCCCAATTTTATCACTTACAGCGCCCATCGTACAGGGCAAATGAAAAGTCCAGATCTGGCGCCCTAGGCGACCGCCCATGAACACACATGCCAAAAATCGGCCCTGCCTAGTACATACAGTGGCAATGTCTCAAGATTTAGCAAAAATACATCTTTATTGAAAATACAGTAACACAAATAATACAAATCCACATAACAAACAATCACCTGGCTGGCGCCCCATAGCAGCTGCGCCGCCACTATTTGTATATAGGGGAAACACTGGACTTTGGTAATCTTTTTCATTTTTTCACAAATGCCAAGTTGCCAACACAAGGTAGACCTTTTTCTAGTTTTGAGGGAAATGTCTCAACCGCTATTGGATGCATAAACATGACATTTGGTACAGTTTATTTAGGTCTATATCAGTACAAATAACTTGCCACCATCAAGTCAAATGTAAAATCTTTCTTATTTGTTTTGATGATGACCAAATATCTGCACAACGAATGACATTACCATTTAGTGTTCTTCTTAGTTTTGTACAACACACATTTGACCCTAACATACTCAAATATTCTTTAAAACCTTTAATAATAATGCATAGAGAAATGTGTCATTCAGCAAAAAACATTTCTAGAGAACAATGCTGAATTTCTCACATTAGGTTTAGAAAAATTCAATTAACCTTCTCTGTGTCCATCAGTTTCCTTCTTGCTTACTTGTTGGTGGATTTTTCTTCATAACAGCTCCTTTAATTCCGCCCCCTCACCGCGCCCCCTCTTCTATTTATCTCTTATTACCGTGTTTTTCTTCTTAGAAATCCCTTTGACTATTTTTCTTCTTTGTGTAAGTTAGGTCAGGGAGCGAGGGAGAGAATATGGAGAGGTTAATGGAGAGACAGACAGGGAGGGAGCGAGGGAGTCAGATGGCGGAGAAGAGTATAAAGCAGGGATAAGAAGGCTTAAGATTTAATGATACAATGTAAAGTGAAGTCATACGGTTGATTTGGCACCATTGTGTGTGTTGCTTGTTTTCCTCTCTGTGTGTGTTGCTTGTTTTTGTGTGTGTGCTGTGTGTGTTATTGGCAGATGTCCTTGACTATATGACTGATAATATCATTGCTTTAGGTCCCAGTTAGAGCAGACAGACAGAGACTGTATTTGTATGGGTGTGTGTGTCTGTATGTGTGTTAGATGTCTCTGTGTGTGTGATAGTGTGATAGAAGTGTGTATGCTCACATTAAGTGTGAGAATGATTGTGTCTGCTTGAATACACACACTCCCTCAGGTCATCAAAACGCTGCCTCACACACAAACCCATCTTGTTTGTTTCTATCCAATCCTCCTACATACTCAATTTGCTATCATTATATACAGTGTATACAGTATTTGAACCTGTATAGGTCTCCAGATTTACATCAACAATTTGTTTAATGGTGACCGTGACCACAGCACTTCAGCTTATCCACTTGCTACTTCCTCCTTCCTTTTCCTCTTCATCGCTCCACTTCCTCTGGCAGTAGGTTGTTGGTCTCATTTGTCTCTGGAGTCTCCTCACTTGCGTCTTTTCCTCACATCCTAGTCCCCTTCATATAAGATGTGAAGAAAAGATGATATTGAAAGATATGTGAGGATAGAGGTTACACTTTTGCAATAAAATGAGACATCCTACCCTTCAGCATCATCTAAAGCCATGAGACGATGACAGACAAATCCCCCAAAAGGAAACGGATACATTTGCATAAAGGTCAGGAACACCGCAGATGAAAACCACTCAATCGAACCGAGGCAATGACTTATTACCTAAGCAAGTCGTAGATATGGATCTAGTCAACACCGCACAATGAGGGGATTAAGGCTTTGCCAGATGAATGCTACTCAGAGCTTTTCCACATCTGTTCCATTTATTCGTCACCTCCAATGTTACACCGACGCTTAGTGTCAAGCAGCAATTCAGGCAGAATACAAAAATGCATCATTCTGAGGTTATAGTGGATTCATGTTTAACATGAACTATGGAATAATGCAGGATCAAGTTTGTTTTTTGTCAGTAACCTCTTATAAAGTGGCTGGTGGTGATTGGTCAATATGTTCTCAGTTTAACAATCTTGTTTTGTCCACAACTAATATATTGAGTTTACTGTTGAAGTGAATTAAAGAAACCAGAAAATATTAATATTTTTAAGGTCCCATGTCATGCTTTTCCGGTTATTACTCGTCTCCTTGTGTGTTATGTAGCTTTTTCTGCATGTAATCAGTCTGCAGAGTCACAAACCCTCAAAGTACACCCGATAGCGAGTAAAACTCTAACACAGAAAAGACCTGTCTATGCTGCCCCAGAACGCCTCGTTGGAGATTTCTCTTTTTCTTCCTGGGTACAGTGACGTATTGGGTATAGTTACGTGCACGGAGCCGTATTGTTTGGACCAATCCGCAGACTTCCTCACACACACACACTCAATCTTTTCTCAGCTGCCGCTCCGCGGATTTCTCAGCCTGAGACGGCTTGACGCGGGGAGGCTGCGGGTGTGTGTGTGTGCACACTCACAGACTCACAGCCAGGCTGCGGGTGTGTGTGTGTGCTTGGGCTGGGTTCTGGCTGGGTCTCGCTGTGTCTCGCTGTCTCGCAGACCCCACGCAGCAGCCAGGAAACAACACCAGTAATCCAGCTCACACTGTCCGCTCCTCGCAGCAGTGAGCCCCGCAATGTCCCGCCAACACGGCACCCAGACCCCACGCAGCACTCACATCTGTTTGTCATTGCTGGTGTCATTTTCTGGTTGCTAACAAACGCCATTGTAACACATAAACACACATCAGAGCACAGTGGGCTCATAGGGAGGGGGGGTGGGGCAGGCGCTCCAACAATCCGTTTAGGACAGAGAGTGAATACACATAGCCTACTATACAGAGATGCTGTATGAGAAACCAATGTGAGTTTGGAACATTGAACAATGTAAATCTATAGTAGACCTCAACAATGGAATTATGATCAGTAGAAATGGCCATGTCATGGGACCTTTTAAAGATTCAGAAAATGTTGACTTCTTAAAAGATTAGGCAAACTGATTCATCAATTTTCATATAGTTGTGGATTAATTACATATTTGACAACACTATTTTCAAAGAATTAATCTTTGCAGCTATTCTCTGAAAACCCAAGCAGGCGTGTTACTGTATACAGGACATCTTCACTCTTTTTGACCATTTAACCAAACTTTTCTATCTTCCCCTCTCCTCTCATGTTTTTTTCTGTATGCAGGTATTTCGTACCGACTTCATCACGGCCATGAAGGTGCCGGACTCGGCCCAGCTCGGCCCGGGTGATTTCTATGTGCTCTCGGACCCGTGGAGACAGGAGTGGGAGAAGGGGGTGCAGGTCCCTGCCAGCCTGGAGGCCATCCCAGAGCCTGTTGTCAGGTAGGACACACAAACAACCATGAAGTAAATGAGGACAAAAGGTTGTGATTGTTTTTATTAGTGGTTCACTATTAGCTCAACCTCTGGCTGCAGAGACATGATGTCAACATGTGAACACACTGGCAGGGTTCCCACGGTTACAGAGTTCCTCCTGAAGGGTTATGAGATTTGAACTTGTTGTTTGCCATGACTAATAGTTGTTTTGGAACATTTCCAAATTGTCAATGAACTTATGGGAACTTATGAAATTTGAGATTCTAGTTGATACAACCATGCAAATTTAATTTGCTCAAGTGATCTTAAAGATTGTGACTAAATGAGTGTGCTGAGATAACACAAGGAATGGTTTTGTATTTTTTTCAAGAAATACAGCTGTTGTATCCCCATCAACAATTTTTTAATAATTTCACAAAGTGTGCCATTGAATTGTAACAACTTGTGGGAACTCTTTACAAAAGGAACAGCTTATAATTACACTTATTTGCATTATACAGCATATTTGTTTATGGACTACATGGACATAAACACAACTTCACACAAAAGTCAACAGGGACTCAAACTGAGATCTTCTGCTTTTGACTCTCTTATTTGTACACAAACACACACTGTAGTGAGCAGGTTTTGATGCAACTGCAGGGAATGAAACACACACACACACACACACACACACACACACACACACACACACACACACACACACACACACACACACACACACACATAAGCAAGCTGGTGGGCAGATGTGTGCAGACATGCACTTCGACCCACTTATATTCCCTCACACTGTAGATTAGTCTGGGCACGCTCTCTCTCTCTTGCCCGGCCAGCTTGTTGTAGCTCTCTAGTACTGCAGCTGCTTCACATACCCATGTGGTTTGTTTGGCGTTCTAGGAACTAATGAAAATGCTCAGACTGCCTAGTAATGCCTGTTAAACAGACATGTCATACTGAGAGGCCACACACATACACAAACACACGTATTCTCTATGGGAGACAAATCATCAAGTCATGTGAGATCTGGTAAAATGTTCTGTATCCAGTAATTATTTTAATTTTAATTTAAAAGAGACAACTGCAATTTAATTTATTTTAACCCTGATTTAGGAAAAGCAGATGTGTAGGTAGATTCATTCTCAACAAAAAAGACCTAAGTAAACACATGTTTTATTTCTTAAACAAAGATTTCATAGCAAGTGACATTTGGCTGCATGTGAAACAGCCGAACACCTGCTGAATACGTTGGAAATGAAATGGCTGAGTAATACTCTAGTAAATCTCTTTTAATGTGTCAGAGTTAAAATCATATTCTTCTAGTTCATACTCTTGACTGGAGTTCAAAGCCTTTCCTCCACTTGTTCATGCTTTTAGAGCCAATTTGTGCTTTTTGTCCCTTTTCCAAATCAATCCAAGAATCAGAGTCACTGTGTTGCAGCAAGTTATACATATATTAAATATGTGAAATACAATTTAAAATTAGCTAATTAGTCAAAGTTGAATTTCAGGTCCCTTAGTTTCTTCATTACCCAAGCAACTTCATTTGGCAGCATAAGATTTGATAAATGTTTTATTACGAAGCGTTATTTAATGTGATGGTTAGTAACTTGTGCATGAAACAATCACCAACCAGACACTTTTGATGGCTCTCAAACAAAAAGTTCACAGTTTTTAACAAATAAAGTACAGTCTACAAAGACACAACAGACAATGGCTTTCTTCCAGTCTTAATGATGGCAGAAGAAAAAAGTAATAGAACTCTGTATCATCTCTGATAAATGTGTCTCCCTTTCTGTTTACATTGTCTAATAGGTTAATATCTCAGCAGATACACATGTGTGACACACACACACACACACACACACACACACACACACACACACACACACACACACACACACACACACACACACACACACACACACACACACACACACACACACACACACATTATGGAGCTAACAAATTGAAGAGAGCCTGAAGGCAGGGAGATAGATGAGCAGATAGGGAGAGAAAGAGCAATGGCAGAGATAGATAAGGATAGATGGATGAATGGGGGCTAATATATTATCTTACATGCGATAGGGTGATGAAGTGATTTACAGTGATGCTGAAATGGAGTGATGATGGATAGATGGCGAGATAGAGGACAAGAGGGGTGAGTCTAAGTGTGACTGAGCTGATGGTCTCTGTCAATGTCTCTGACAACGATTTGTTCCTCTTTTTCCTGTTGTGTGTCATCTGAAAGCCATGCTTCTCCTTCCACTCACTCTCTCCTTTTGGTATGTTTGGGCTAAAATCACCAGCAATGTTTGAGACTTCCTTGGTTGTACCCGTACAATCTCCTGTGGTTGGGGATTATTCATAGGAAACCTTATTCCAATGCTTAACATGGATGAAGATTTAATGAAAATATCACAAAACTGCCATAAAAAGGTCACATTTCAAATGAATTGCATTGGAGAGCATGGTAACAAAAACAGCTGCTGCTAAGCATGACAGTAAGAATGTTTTGCAGAGGAACAAAACATAAAAGTTACGTTACAAGTCCAAAGCATTCTGCTCAGAACTGCTGTCTCTCAAGGCCTAGGGCTCCATGGATATAATATTGCACAGTAGTTTTGATCCATTGTGTTATAACAGGATGTTCAGATATCCGGTACAAAACTACACATGGTATGGCGGGACAGAAGAAGTGAGGCAAGACTTTCAGTGCAGTGTGATGGCATAAAATCAGAGCAGTGTGCAGTGGCCATGGCGGTGCCACAAGGTTGGACTTGGACAGGGTTGGGCTCACTCTATCCATTTAAAAAAACCAAGGGCTCTCATTGGTGCAAAGCTTTTGTGAGGATGTTGAAACAGCTCTCACATGTGTTAATATAAGCAGCCCTGTTAGCCTCTTAGCATAACTTAGCACAAAGACAACAGTGGAAAGAGATAGCCTTGATCTGTTAAATCGTAACTACATCGGCTAACTAGCACCTCTAAAACCCTGGCAATCAATGTTTTGTATCAAGTTATAATAATAAGTAATGATGCTGATTTCATTTTCTAAATGTTGCTTATACTGACATATTTTGTAAACCAACAAATTCGGGTAAAATTAGGAGTTTTACCTATTTTTGTACTCCTTCAACCCTCCTATCCTGTTTCCTTTATTGTTCCTCTCTTGTCTATGTCTTCCGCTCTACATTTCTTTCTTTCCCTGCCTCCCTTCCTTAAACTCCCACCTTTTCCTCTTACTTTTGCTCTAGTTGAGCCAGAGGCGTAGACACATTTGTCTTTTTTCTACTTTTTCTTTTTTTATGAATAATGACATCATCTCCAAAAATTGTTGGAGAGGAAAAGGGCTGCAGGCCCTGTCTGGTTTTGACAACATTCCTCTTTAACATTTCTCTCTCTTTCTTTGGACCAATTTGGCTGCTGCGGTATGATTTTCGGTAAACTGTAAGGCGGATGGTGAAGAGGTCATTATGATTTGATGTTGTTTTTTTTGCCTCTTATCAAAACACTGCAAGAGAGACACACTCTCCTCCTCTCTCTGTCTCCCGTTGCTTATCCACTTTCTTTCACCTACTTTACCCCATACTCCTCTGTCTCTTTTTCCTCTCATGTTTCTCTCTTTCTCCACTTGCTGCCCTTCTGACTTTCCTTTTGCCTGTCCCCTTCTTTGGCCGTCCCTGTTATTTAATTACTCACTCCCCTTCTTGTTCCTTTCTCTCTCTCTCTCTCCATCATTTTCTCGGGCTGAGTGGAAGTAATTAGCAGTTGCATAACACTGGCTATGTGCAGACAGAGAATGGGTCTTTGGCAGACTCGACAGCCTCGGTCCCCAATGACAACACAGAGCCGGAGAGGGAAATAATCACACATACACATAAGAAGATCTGCACAAAATGAAAAAAAATGAGATATAGGTTATTTTATTTATTGCTTCACTTTTCCCTCTTGCACTGGTGGCCGAGTGAGTGAATGTGAACCCGTCGTTTGTGGTTTGGCTGAACACGTTGGTCTTCTGAACGGCGTGCAAAGCTGCGCCGCCGGGAGGGAGAACATCACATGGAAGGAGACAACTTACAAAAGTGGTTCATAAGAGGATTGATTATGCTGATTTTAATTTGTGAAATTGTAATTTCCAATGCTCGGCAGGCATGAAATGTTTCACAGAGTCTTGTTGTATTCAAAGATATTGCCATAGGTGGTTGACAAACTTCAAGAATCCATGGAATTCATGACATTTTAAGCTTAATCTCAGTTGAGATTGCAGGAGAACAATTTACACCATTTGCTACCCAGTGGTGGAATATCAGGTCGTCAGGTTTCGGTCAGGTGTAATCATATGCAAAAGTTGGATTGGTTAACAAGCTGCCCACAGGGGATTTAAGGTATGAACGCTGAGAGGAAGCAGATAGTGTCGCTTAAAAAGGCCTTTGAGAATCGGAAGGATCGCTTTCTGTTTAATTCCTCTTGATTAAGCAAAAGGCTTGGGTTTGGCTTGGTTGTCATTCTCTCAATAATCGGTCAAGAAACCGGTATTAAGTCAAACACAGGGTCTGTGCGAAGCTGACAATTGAGCGGCCCGACCAAGCAAGGAGGCAGAGGTAGAACGTCCAAAAATATAACCCGGTGTGGGCATTTATTAAATTCGAGCACAGGACACAGCCTCAATCTTGCTGTTCCCGTGCGCACAGTCACCAGCCACAAGGATCTCACACACACCCTCCACACAGAAAAACCCCAGAGCCTAATTGCACACAGACCAATCAACCCAACAGGACACAGGTGAGGGGGGGAGGAGACAACAAAGGGCACCAGGTGCACACAATCAACAGTAACAGACATGGGGAAAGGGGAACACTTTTCAAAACAAAACCAGCAAACAGAGACAGACAAACTAAAACACAGACAGATGCACAAACTACATACACTTCGCCACCAACGAAGCTACACAATCCGAGCCCCAGAGATCACCTCCGTTACAGTCTGGTTTATATCTCAACAATTTG